GGCAGATCACAAGTTCTTTTTGAAGGATTCCTCTAGAACAAGTCCGCAACATGACAGACCTGTCAGCACTGGCGATGCATTGTTAACACCTGCAAGGGCAAATGCACAACAGTTGGAGATATTGTCAGGAATGTTTCTGACCACAGTCATCCACCAGAAAATGTCACTCGGGCTAAGTTTATCGGCAGTCTTAGGAAAAGAGCTAGAGAAGAGACAACCCGCATGCATGCCCTCTACTCTGACCTCAAGACTTTGAACTTGCAGCTATCCAGGCTGTCGAAGCTGAGTTCCCTAATGCCGAGATCAAGGAATGTTTCTTTCATTTCACTCAAGCCATATTGCGCAAGACACAAAACTTGGGATTAGCCAGACTACAAGGATGACCCCAGTGTTCAGAAGTGGATTCGACGTGCTGCAGCACTTCCACTCCTTCCCATAGATCTGGTGCAAGACACTTGGCTGGAATCCATGAACTCAACTCCTGACACCCCTCATTCAGTGGACTTCAATGACTACATAGTTGCCAGCTGGATGGATGACGACGCCAGATTTCCAATGCACCTGTGGAACCACCACCAAACCAGAGGACCGCGCACTAACAACAATCTCGAGGGCTTCCACAACAGACTAAACCGGACCTTGCCACACGACCATCCGAACATCTACAGGTTCATCACCGTCATCCGAAAGATCGAGTCCGCAGACCGAGCCAAGCTGTTTCAGGTCGACTTCGGTGCAGCTCCTCCTACCAGAAAGCGAGTGTACAGGGAGTTGGAGAACAGAACCCAGAGCCTGAAGGACCAGCTTCGCCAAGGTACCAGGACCCCACTTGACTTCCTTGATGCCATTGGACATCTGATTAAGCTTGGTTGAGACTCTTGTTATGTGAAATATATGTGCTGAGTTGAATCAGTGGTTTAGAAATAAATGATAAAAGACATCGAAGAATGATGAACTTCATATACATGGATTTGCAAACAAATGCATATAAAATGCAATTATATGAAGTGCTAATCAATTGTGTTGCGTTTTTCTTTCTATGTCTGTAACGAGTATGGGCTATCCCATTCTTCACTAATAGGTAATAGGTGTGTGCAGTGGTCTGTGACCTTATGTGTATTGGGGTGTAACAACTGGCTTGTGTAGCAAATGGGAGGATACACTGACTGCAGTTGAAGGTTCTTGCCAGCTGACGTGAAGCCACCATAATGTCCCACAATAACGTCTTTCATGTTTTGAAAAATGCACGATTCGTACGAAGTTTTCTTTCAGCTGCGTTGTTATCGGGACCATGTAGGGTTTTGGCGAAGTTTTCTGTTTGGGTTCAAACCTGTACCGGCGTTTTTATACAATTACTTTGAAAGTGATAACTTTCTTTGTTGCCCGGTAATTTATATAAATGGTCATTACTCACAACCACGTACATCTCAAACACCTTTCAACATAATGTCAACATAACTCTTTTAAATATAGATATGTCAGACATCGATAATAGAATATATGTTGTACACGTTTTGGCCTCGGAAACTATTGTTCATTGATAGATGACAAAACGAAGGAAGTGTTTGTTTTATTGAATACACATACGTGTGTTTTATTGGCTATACATGTTCAATCGGGGGCGGATCTGTGTTTGTTCATTTGGGGTTTTGTGTAACTGTTATAGGGCCAGACAAAAGTATACTTCAATCTTGCTCATTTCACATAAAAATGACTGTCTCTCGAAGTAGACAGTTTACTAGACTAGGGGTAATTTTATGTAGATATGTATGTAAGGGTAGCAATCTACGAAATTGGGATACGATGACATGTCTCAACCAAGTCACCGAGCCTGACCACCCGATCCCGTTAGTCGCCTCTTAAGACAAGCATGGGTTGCTGAAGACCAATTCTAACCCAGGTCTTCACGGGCGGTGATGCCATGGAGAACGCTAGCTGACTAGTACACACTATACTGAAGCACCGACCGACTGCTGGTCAATTCTGCTATGACGTCAGATCACGTGATGGCACCTACCTCTACTCTTTAATTTTCGGTAGTTTCCGGAACACGAGTATTTTTTTAGGTTTAACGCTTTGGGCTACAAATGTTGACTTTTGGGAAACAATAAAAATATCCAGTCTTGAAGACTGCTCTTGGTCAAGATAATTGTTTTGATATGCTTTAAAAGACTTTGATTGAAGAATTTTCACTGTATCTCCACCCTGGCACAAGTTTGTTGTGATGACCACCTTTCATCCTCTGTTCTTTAACATCCGAAATGGGTCCGTTGTCGGATAACGCCTAATAACTGATTAAATCACAATAGGCAGCTGAGTTTTGGACGTTGACCAAACCACTTTACGCATAATTGGGCCTATGGCATCGAGCTTAACGCCTAATAACTGATTTTGTACCCACTATACGCATATACTTAATTTGACTCGCTGTTTATGGTACATGTGTATGCATTCGTCACCACTCGCCACGTTCCGTAACCTCCAACTCACTATTTGCTTATCCCGGATTAATACGACTGAGTCACTAATGATTTGTACCCATTTCGCCCATTTCCGTAACCTCCAAGTCACTATTCGGCTTGTCCCAGACTAACACGAGTTGGTCACGAATAGTGTGTATGGTCATTCGTCACCACTCGCCCCTTTCCGTAACCGTTTAAGTCGCAATTCGGCTTGTCCCGGAATAACACGAGTTGCCACGAATTGTGTAACCGTCATTCATCAGAATAGTGTGTATGGTCATCGCAAGTCGCAATTCGGCTTGTCCCGGAATAACACGAGTTGGTCACGAATGGTGTTTGATGTCTGGAACGTTTCTGCTTGCAGTTATCAATGGGACGGACACATGTGTGATGGAGCAGGCAACTGATACATGGACTATGAAGGGCTACGCTCACTGCTGTCGTACTCACTGACTGTCACAATTTGAAGATTGCCATTGAGCGCATATCCCAGTCATAGCAGCCTAATCCTGTCTCCAAAGTCCTATATTGGGGCACGTTAGTTATAACAGTGGTGTTTCTGTTCAGTCGAAATCTATTGTTACGTATGCAGATCACGTGTTCCTTTGGCTCCTTTGGCTCTTTCTGCTATTAGCTATCCGTCGATGTTCCTATAGCACCATCTACATCACCAAGCTGTCATGATTATTAAGAGAACATGTTTGTTTTCGACATGCAGATATCCCAAATTGTAATGTGTCTGTAAATTTGCTACGGTCTTGGAGCGTCGTATCAGTTCAAACTTGCTATTTTCCAAGTCATGCGAAGTCTTAGGGATCAACAGGATATGTATCTATATAACTGAAGTTCCAGCAGTGTCTTGACTGTTGTTCAACGCTGCACTCAGCAATATTCCAGCTATATGGCGGCGGTCTGTAAATAATCAATCTGGACTGATCAATGGCATGAGCATCGATCTATTCAACTGGGATACGACGACATGTGTCAACCAATTCAACGAGCCTGACCACCCGATCCCGTAAGCCGCCTCTTAAGACAAGCATCGGTTGCTGCAGATAAGTTCCAAACCGAATCTTCACGGATCAAGCAGTGTCTAAAATGACTTTGTATGCATCATAACGCAAGCAATGGTTCCTTGTATTTGTATATTTGACGCTTTGCAACCTTGTATCTGAATGTATCTATTCTCCAAATTGCCTGTATGAAAATTAGACTGGGTGAAACGGTTAATAAAATCGCAAACCAGGAATTGTTGAATGGTTGAGTTTTGCCCACTGATCAACACAAGGCAGATGATTGAGTGAGCGAGTTTAGCTTTTAGCAATATTCCAGCAATATCGCTGAGGGGGACACTAGAAATGGGCTTCACACATTGTACCCATGTGGGGAATCGAACCCGGGTCTTCGGCGTGACGAGCGAACGCTTTAACCACCCCACCCGACAGAAGAATATGAATGACTGACACGTTCATGTTACTGCTTGGTGTGTTGCTTTGGAAAACCACATAGGTGTATGCCATTCATCACTATTCGTTCCTTTTGAGTACACGTAAGGTTTGGGGTACTTTGATCAAAATAATCCCGAGTACTTAAATCGGTTAGGGCAGTATGTGATAGTTTATAATATCATGACAATATATATCGTCATTTTGCCTTTTAATTAGATGTTTTCGGCAAGGATAGGGCCACTAACAGTTCAAAATGTTAAACACACATACACGTCCATTTATTTACATGAGTCATTGAACGTTTTCTCCGACAATCTTCCGGGCTTGCTTTAGAGATTTTACGTGCGCTTTCCGACATGTCGCGTTGTCGCACACGCTCTGACCTATTTTGTTTTCCAAGTTCAATTAACTTTTATACCCATAATGATATGTTAAGAAGTGATAATAATTTTTATGTAATATAATTATAAATAGCTCCGAGTTTCAAACCAATATAACTAATCAACTTAACCTTTCAACATTGTTTACAGTTCACCTCACCAGGGATATATAAATCTGACCTTTCTGGGGCAGTATTATTTTTCAACGTACTCCTTTTGAAATTCCACCGTAAGGCAGCAACATTATATACACTGCCAAGGGACGCAACTCTTTACAGTGTAAAAGCTTGATGCCAACGTTCAATGTTTTGTTTGTTCGTTGTTCAATTAATCTTATAGATTCATTGACAGAAATGTCTCGGACTTACAAGAGTGAGTGAGTTTTACTCTGCTTTTAGCAATAGTCCACCGTCATGGCGGTACTCAAGAAATGAGCTTCACACATTGTGCATGTGGGGAATCGAACCCGGGTCATGTGCGTGAGGAGTGAATAGTTTAACCACTAGGCTACAACACCGCCCTCACTGATAAACAAATGACTGATGAACAACAACCCCCATAAAGTAAGTGTATACTGATCCCCAATCTATGAAGTTCTTGAATCTGACAACAGATATATTTAGAAAGTGTGTACCACAAGCACACACTGCCAGGGACCACAGACTCAGTGCACTCACATATTCTTTCCAAATGATGCAATCACACTGTGATAGGTTTCAGCCATTTTATTTTCTAAGAAGAACAAAATAATAAGTGCTTGTATAAAAAACAAAAAATAGGTCAGTGAGTGTGATATTAAAAACATGATTTGTGATTCTTCTTCGACATCTAGATAGACTTGATAACGACAAGATCAGCACGGTCTTGTTCCTCCTCTGATGATGTTAACCATTACACCTCTCCACAATCATGAATCAGACAGCGCTGCAAAAGCAACAAGATATTATTTGAAGCCCAGACAGCTAGAATGCAGTATTACAACTATCCTCTGCAGCTTTGGAAAGAGAAATATGATTAAAATGATAATTCAGTTCAATTCGTGTCACAAATAACACAGGGTGGAAGCCCTCCCAAAAAGCAACTCCATTTCGTCGCTAGACAGTGAAAGAAGAACGCATGGCGCAAGACTGACTGACTGACTGAGTTTGGTTTTACGCCGCTTTTAGCAATATTCCAGCAATATCACGGCGGGGGACACCAGAAATGCATGGCGCAAGAGTAATGGTAAGTTTACGCTCGCATAGCATTATTTTGCATTATATCAGGTTTTGCCATTTGGCAGAAGAATCTAGAAAGTTACAGATCTTTCTGTAATTGCTTGACACCCTCTATATTTATTGCAATTGCGCGTTAAGCGAGGGCACCCTCCTGAGTAACGAAACAAGATCGCGGAAAATGATCATTTCAACATGAAATATGACATCCTCATCAGCAGACACACCGTTTTTTTGCTGTCACTTCTTAGATATTGTTATTTTAGGTCTTCAATCGCAGTTTAGGCTTTAATGCGTCATTACTTTTTCCATTATCGTGGAAAAATCAATCTGTACATTTTATATGGAGTTGTTCACCTTAAGCAAACAAACTGTCCATTGTATTGTGATTTTACTGTCCAGGAGTTGACAGTTTCTAGTTTTAACTGTCAGGTCATCAAACGTTATTCTTGAGATATTTGTTGTGAAGAAGAATGTTTTGTTACTCCCTACCTGGCGTATTTATTACGGTTTTTTATCTTCAAGTGCGATTGTACACCCTCATTGCAGTTTGTACCCTGACTGGGATTTATTGGATGCAAACCTATAAAAACACATATTAATTTGTTTAAAAAAAACATGCATTCATTTCACTTAAGCTTTACTTGCCAGCGTAAACACGACATCAAACCGAAACTAAACAAGAGTGACCGTAATGTATGCTTATTGGATGATAGATATAGATCAAGTACTTCGGTAGATGTCTTGAAAATACAAAGTAATCTGATTGGCTGATTTTCCCGGTCTTTATTGTCGGGTTCCCTCATATTTTCCCGGTTTCTACCCATCTTATCCGATTGCTTCCCAACCAGTGGCATCATGGCGTAGCGTTCATAGGGCTCATATGGGCCATAGGATTCAAACATTTTACAAAATCATGTACGATCAGAAGTGTATTAACAAATATACATCTACCCCAGGAATAACCAAGACCAGGTTATTCCAAAGTATGTACATTGTTCATTCTATCATATTCAGATAATAGTATTGCACATTCGGGTAAAGCACATCACTAAGCATCTGAAAACCAAGGGACATCTAACCAATTTTGAATGTGCGAAAGAAAATACAATAATGACTTCCTTTATTCCCACCGGTAGCACCAACAGCGATACGGACAAGTCAATGGCAGTTGTAAAACAAATAAAGCAGATATACAAATGACACAATTTAATGTGAAAATGAACTTGCCGATTTTATCTGCAGACCTCCTTACGAAGACAGTCAAAACTGTGTTGAAGTTGCTTGATAAACACCATTCTGGTATTCAGAAATGTGTCAAAGTTTCTTTCTTATAAAATAAGATTGTACACTTTTGACACAAAGTTTGATTTCACAACAGTCTCGTTTCCTGGTGACTGGGGTCCGTCATAGGACGCAACTTAATACAATAACCAGTTCTGAATTTTAAGACCAGCTCATTCAACTGGATATATAAATATTAATCGGTATTATTTGATACATATAATAACTTGTATATTGGACACTACTCTCCTTCTAATCTGCACTCTGTCGTACAACGTGCTCTGACAAACGGAAATCTCAAAACGAGGCTCGGACACGAGAGAAACGTTTGGCGGTCTTGTACAGACTTGATATTATATCAATCACATTGTATGTTACAAAAATACACTTGATAAGCGCAAAGAACACATAACAGGTGTAACCAGTGAGCCAGATGGATTATGAAACATTTGTACGACCTCATCAAACAGGGGCAGTCTGTGACCTCTTAGCAGAGACCATATAATAATCTATTATGTGGTCTCTGGTCTTAGTTAACGTTATGCTGCCTAAACCTAGCCATAAAATATAGAAATACGATTTTATTAAAGTTTACAATTAACATTCATTTGTTAATACCAATTTCTTATGAAACATAGAATTGGAATTTAGTGTAACCAGAGTTGTCTGTAGTGTCTCTTTTCACTTTCACACGAGAAAATTCAGATCGGCTGAAAAGTAGGTCTTTGTCTGAATTGGTTCATGAGACTCATGTTTTGGTTTGACTGCTGCCACATGTGTGGCAAGTTCTACAAGTCTTCATTTGCCCCCAGACTGCATGTTAAGGGGATCCATCACAACAACTGTCGTTTCCATTGGCAAGTCTGTGGAAAAGGGTATCAACAACTGTGGGATTTCAACAGTTAATGCTCTAAAATCCATGCAACTACATGGACAGTTACTTCAACGTAAACATTCAAAGCAATGGACAGTTTCAACACAACTCCATGTAAAACGTACAGTTTGATTTTTTTACGAAATCTGAAAAATTACCAATGCATTAAAGCCTAAACTGTGAAAAAAAAACTGTGAAAATAACTATATCTAAGAACTGACAGCAGAAAAAGGTGTGTCTGCTGATGAGGATGTCATATTTTGTGTTGAAACGATCATTTTCTTTCGACACTCAGGAGGGTGCCCTCGCTTAACGCACAATTGTAATAAATATAGAGGGTGTCAGGCTATTACAGAAAGATCTGTAACTTTCTAGACCCGTCTGCCAAATGGCAAAACCTGATATACTTGCAAAATTATGCAAATGCGAGGGAAAACATAGCATTACTCTTGCGCCACATGTTCTTCTTTCACTGTCCAGCGAGGAAATAGAGTTGCTTTTGGGGCAACTCCACATTTCGCGTGTGACAGCACTTCCACCCTGTGAATAAGGTAAGTAATGAAGCTTAATGCAGGACCACTCTTCTAACCTACATGTCACAATCACTGTACCTAAGGTGATGCTGGTAACGCATCCCAACATGGCGGCAGGTAAGATCGCTTGGCGATTTTTCCCCTCGTATTAGCAGCCTTCCACGTGTGTACACAATCAACATTATTTAGCACACTGATAAACTTTGATGGTGGAAATACATTCAATGCACTGAATTTATCAGTGTGCTAAATAATGTTGATTGTATACACGTGGAAAGCTGCTAATTCGAGGGGAATAATCGCCAAGCGATCTTCCTCACCTTAGGTACAGTGACAATTGTTGAAATCTGACTGGTACACCAAAACAACAGATCCCGCCTGGGAGGGAAATAAACCCCTTATAGCCTGCTATAAAGCACACAAGCTGTACATGTATTTCTGTTTGGTACAATATATCTTTCAACTGCACCTTGCATATGTGTCAACATGAGTGAGTTGAATTTAACACTGCTCTTAGCAATATTCCAGCAATATCACACAGCAGGGAACACCAGAATTGGGCTTCACACAATGTACCCATGTGGGGAATCGAACCCGGGTCTTCGACGTGACGAGTGAACGCTTTAACCACTGGGCTACTCACTGTTAAAAAAAGTCAAATCACACAGGACAAGTTAACCTCAGCTCAACTGATAAGGTGGTTTCTATCTGTTTTCAATTCAATTCTTCTACAATGACATGTTGAAACATGTCAGCAAGATAAATGTATTGTAAGTTGTAGGCCTATCACTCCAGTAGGGTCCCGCGTAGGTTTATACCACCTATAAACTAACTCTAGCACTGCAGTGAACACAGTTTAATTCTATCAGCTAAAACTGGAAAGGCATGAGTACCACCTAATGTGGAATGCTACTGCTACTGCTACAACTTGTATTACACAAAACACTGGTTGCTAAAAAACGTTCGCTTAGGTATACATTAATATGTCTAGGAATGGGAATCGAACCCAGATCTTCAGCGTGATGAGTGAACACTTTAATCACTAGGCTCCCCCCATTGCCTCCACCATTTGAAAACATGACCAAGAAGAATGTACTATCAAGGCCGTCCATAATGAAAGTAGATCTGTATCATCCACATTACCTTCTTGGGAGCATCCCCTCTGTCAGTGTCCACAGCCTCCAGCTTCTCGACTATGTCCATACCCTCAACCACTTTGCCAAAGACAACATGCTTCCCATCCAACCAGCTTGTGACAACGGTGGTGATGAAAAATTGGGAGCCATTGGTGTTTGGTCCGCAGTTAGCCATGCTCAGTAGTCCTGGTTTTGTGTGCTGAAAGGAATGACACATTGTGTTGCTGAATTTCTACAGCCTGTTTCTCATTAGTTAGTTTACTGATATCTTTCTCTCAAAATGTGAAGTAGGTGCTCCAAACGAAAAAGAAAGAAAGCACTGTTGTTGTTTTTTGTTTTATGTTATGTAACATACGGTTGGAAGGGATTATACATGAATAGTGAGTGAGTGAGTTTAGTTTTAAGCCGCACACAGTAATATTGCAGCTATATGGCGATGGTATGTAATTAATCGAGTCTGGACCAGACAATCCAGTGACAAACAGCATGAGCATCGATCTGCGCAATTAAGAACCGATGACATGTCAACCAAGTTAGCGAGCCTGACCACCCGATCCCAAATAGTCGCCTCTTACAAGCATGGGTTGCTGAAGATCAATATTGAAACCCGGACCTTCACGGGTATTATTTAAGAAATACTCTTCACTCTACCACCATGTATAGTGTAATAAAACACACTTTTGCCCTGAACTATTATAGTTAAAGCACGAGGACGCTTGCGTCCGAAAGTGCTTTAACGCTATAATAGTTCAGGGCTTAAAGTGTGTTTTATTACACTATACATGGTGGTAGAGCCGAAGATATTTCTTTCTAAGATGCCAAATTTAATATTTTCTTAAGATAACTACTGATTAATTTAAGGCAGAAAACAAACGACGGTGTCGGTGACCTAAATTAAGAATCCTCGCACAGGGCTAACTGGCTGTTCTATTGATGTGTCTGTCCCCTACGTTAAGACGAACGTTACCAGAAAAAAAACAAATGATAACAGTTTGATGACGGTTTACGTTCAAATTAAATATCTTCTCTGAATTATTTTAAGTACATCTGTAATTAACGTAAACCATATGGGGCAATATGAACGTTGCATTTCTACTACCAGCGTAAGTTTAGATCAGTACATCCAGAGGAAGTTGAGTATCAAAGCGAGATTCCACAATTGCATTGTGGGAATGTAAACATTACTTAACGCTACCGTGTCGCTGAAAACTTGTGAGTCGAAATGACACATTTTAACCGTCGTAAAACATAAACGTAATGTTTCCACCAGTGATGTTAGCTGCGTGAAGCAACAGCAAACCAAGAAACTGGATGCAACGGTGTAGTTTACTGTAGGAGGCCGTACGAGGCGATGACAACTGACATGCATCGTGACGTCGCTTACATTGTGACGTAATGTAAAATGGTTCGATTACAAGGGGGCACACTAGAATGGCCCAGTGACGGGATAACGTCATTCAATTGTTACGTCATCAAAAAACTATACCTTTATTGTCTGATAATGTATTTTTTTATCGATTGTTCTAACCGCTAGGCATCTTAGAAACATGAATAAAATTTATTTCAATGTCACAATGGCTCAAATCATGAAAATATATTTCATGCCGTTGTGGTTTGTCTTATATTCCATAAAAATGGTATTAGACAGTCAGCTACATGACAGTCACTTAATAATCAAGACCAAACCAGACCATCAAGTGAGTGACATCATGAGCATATAAGTCAGTGTATAAAATAAGTAAAAACCCAGCCAGACATCAGTGCTGTTCAAAATGTTACCAGCCCAAAGTGAATTTAACCAGACCCGACATTCCAAAGAAAATAACTCAATTTCTTAATGAATAATTAAGATATGGTGAACGTACTAGGATGTATGGAACATGTTATCTAAATTTTTTACAGGACCATCGGGTTGACTAGCTGTAGATTTAAACCGTCCGTCAGAAATCTAGCCTGTCTTGGGGCGGTCGGACACGAGGCTGTGTCTATCCCAGTCTACAGTTTCAACAGCTGAAGTGAACTAACAGCATCCCTGCTCATCCTAAATGAAGACAGTCACCTTGTCAGTGAAGTTTTCATCCTTGAATGTCTCCCCGTAGATGCTTTCGCCTCCTGTTCCATCTCCCTTCGTGAAGTCACCACCTTGGATCATGAATTCCTTGATGACTGAGGACAAAGAAACAGCATATCACAGACTGATAACACAGGCCCTCGTGCCTTTGCGAAGACTAAAGGTTATTATTTTTTTTAGATGATCCCAGACTCGAAATGCTTACGATATATTATGACAAGGCCCGGACACTTCGGTGTACCCCACCCATCTGCTTTGCCGATCGCTATGGTACAATCGCATGCAATCTCGATTAAAATTTAATGTAAACATAATTATGGATGCTTGGCCTATCGATCATCACTCATGACACCTACCAATTCTTTATTGTTATTTCTGCAAGTCGATTGAAACCCGATTTTGACCCTCAGCTAAACGATACTGACACAAATGGATGACGATGTGTGCGAAAAAAATGGAGGTGTAGTCGAATCAAGCATTGATCTATGCAATTGCAATACAATGACATGTGACAACCAAGTCAGCAAGCCTGACCACCTGTTAGTTGCCTCTTACTACAAGCATGGGTTGATGAAGACCAATTCTTCGAGGGCCTTGTGAGACTGGGTTTACTGCAGCACAGGACTTCTTAATATGGCAAATATGGTAAGAATAAACATCAGCAGGGCATGTTCCTTATAGATGGGCTTTATAATATGAGCTTACTGTCCAGGGTGTTTGGACAGTAAAGTTACCTCTGTGGAACACGCATCCCTTATAGTGGAGGGGCTTGCCATTCTTAGTTTTCCCCTTTTCTCCAGTGCAGAGAGCTCTAAAGTTCTCCGCCGTCTTAGGCACCTTGTCCTTGAACAGCTCGAATGTAACACGACCCGCTGAAATACATTCATTTATGCATTCATAAAAAACAGGAAAATTGTAACAATTCAACTTACAATCCCAACAACAGTTCACTCGTATTTTTGTATTCATACTGACTGACTGAGTTTGGTTTTACGCCGCTTTTAGCAATATTCCAGCAACATCACAGCGGGGGACACCAGAAATGGGCTTCACACATTGTACCCAAGTGGGGATTCGAACCCGGGTCTTCGGCGTGATTGTATTCATACATGTTCAAAGGAGGGGAACAAACATTTGTAAGACAAAAATGTTCCATGCCTGAAATCCATTGTCTTAGGGACAGTTCATAATTTATGGCTGGGGGTGATTTTTATGGAGAAGCATGTACAATGTGAGTGAACACCCCAACCCCCGCAAATTTATTTACAATGTAAGTGAACCCTCCCTCCCTCCAACCGCATGTCAAGTACAAAATCAATGACACTACCCCCACCACCCCTAGATAATGTTAAGCATAACTTTGTCATAATTTTATGTTCAAAATTGCTGACCGTCCCTAGAACATGTGTACAAAATTGATATTCCCCCAAAAACAAAATGGTGATCCCACCTTACAATCATCACCACCACCACCAGCCCCCAACAGCTTTTGTTTTCTGCAGGTCGTTATGACCGAGAGCTTTTTCATCTCCAATAACTAAAAGTATTATTTTTCAGAAAATATCATTCAGTACTTTCTAGTTTTTATCTCCATCAGCAGCGGTTGTCTGTAAGTAAAACGGCGATCATTTTAGAGGAAGCAATTTAGATTACTGAGCTATGATCTTTTAACCTTGAACAAGTTATCCGAATGCATTGCAAACTCCATACACTGACAAGGCCCTTTGTTACCACTCGCCTCTTTCCATAACCTGCAAGAAGATGCCTCCCCCTATCCATGCTTGTTATGTGCAAAAATACGACAAACCAATCAGAATGCGTGTAATGATTGCCGCGCTTTGATAGAGATAGAACTAAACCTAAAAGTGCCTTCAACCTTAAACTATCACTAGCCCACAAACAAAACAAGTAGTCCATTGATAATGAAATTAACTTTCATTGCTTTATTGTTGTATGTAATAAATGATTAAATTTACTCTTAACTCTTTCCACGCCAGTCAACAAGAGTTTTTTACTGCGATGACAGAGACTCTGAGGTCATTGATGAAGCCTGTGTTTATCAAGGAAAATATCAGCTTGTAAAACATTATTGCTACTACATGTCATACACCATTTGAAAGGTCTCATCCTACTGTTTATAAATATGAAAGCTACTTTTTGTCATATTATTCAAATAATAAAACTACATTTTATATAAGTTAATTTTCAATGAAAATGCAAGCTTACACATTTAGAATGTCCAGATAAACCACGATGGAAGAAACAAACGTTTGTAACATGACAATTTATTCGCCTATCGTTTTCTTATATATTTTCATTTTTACGTAATTGAAACATCATTACAAAAAGATTTCTCAAATAACATGTATGGTTGTCTATTTCCCGATATCAATGGCCTACGCTCAATAACATGACACAACAGCAGGAAATACCTCCGTTTTCGAAGCTTCCTATGAATAACATGCACAGTGTTTCATTTGATGGCAATATCACGTATCGTGGGGAATCGAACCGGTCTTCGAAAGCTCTAAACATATAAATATGGTGATTGGTCAAAATCATGCACATGACCTAAGGCAGCCAATAATACTACAGCAATGGATATCGTCGTCGTAAACGAAAACTTTTGAGATTTAGATGAAAGTTTTGGGTTAAACATGTTATTCTGAACGTGTTACGCAAAAAATCACCACTTAAACGTATATAATGGAACTTAGTGGACGTATCGTGCTAGGCTATGACCTGTGGAAAGTACTTCATGCATATATTTTAGTATTAAACATCTTGTCCGAGCGTGAAGTTCGAGAGCCGAGATGTCACTTGACTTACACTGCACAATTGCACAAACTACATCGGGCCAGTAGTAAATAAGTAGTGTGGAAATGGATAACTAAAACTGCCAAGCGTTATGAGGGGCATTTGGTCCGAGGCTATAATTTATCAGATAGTTATGCTCTATCGGGGCCAGTTGTAATGAACAGAAGGTGTGGAAATGGATATCTAAAATTGTCAGTTTTGCACGCTCTTTCCAACCTAAAACAAGAGTTATAGCGAGGGACCACTAAGATGTTTTGAATAAATTGACACGATGTAGATGTTATCTTATGAGTTCTGCAACATTGGATTCACTAGTCTGGTGGAGAGAGTTGAAAATGGATGATCTCAATTGCAGTTTTGATGAATAATCACTGAAAAAAAACTAGTAGTCCGCCGGACTAGTGCAAGTTTGTTTCCATTTGCCCGACTAATTTTTACTCGCCTCGGGCTTGCGGGCAAGTGTAAAGATCGAACCCTGTTTGATAAAAATAATCCTGAGTACTTAAATTGTTTATGGCATTATTTCATTGTTTAAAAAATCATGAAAAATATACATCATCACATTTTAAGTACAAGGAATGTAGCTAACAGAATTGTACTGCCTAATGTGAATTTTTTAGTAAGTATCATGCGATTGACAGTCAGGGATTCAAATACACGCACATGCGTTTGTTTTCATAACGGCTCTCATGGGATCCAATAAAGCTTTTTTCTTACTAACTTGTGGGCTTGTTTTGGAGATTGTTAGGAAATATATAATTATAAATAGCTACGAGTTTCAAAACAATAATATTATATCTATATATAACTAACTTTAATCTTTAACATTGGTGTTATATTTCACATCTCTGGGGATATTTTAGTCTGACTTTTGGGGGTCATTCATATTTTTTTTTAGCATATTCATTATAAAATTCCACCAGGGTATGGCAGCAAGGTTACACGAATGTTCAATTTCAGATATATTTTCAAGCCATTTTTTGAGTATCTGTTTTAGGATTTAATGTAGATGTATTTTTTTTTCCTTTGCATATTCAAAAAAACAAATCCCATTTGTCATTCTTAAACTCCGTTTAGAAATATAAGGTGAACAGCTGGTTATAATTACATTAGCATATGTCTTTAACACATACTTTTTTCTCCTTCTTATAGTTGCATCAAAGAGGTTTAATTCTTTAAAATAAATAAATAAAAACCAAAACAGCAATACAATGTAGGAGTGCTTCGGAGATTTTAAGTACCATTGGAATCAAACAGGAATTGAGTTATCGTTCTTGTTTAAAGTAGTTCTGATGTTCATGCGCCAATATGAAATCCTTCCAGAGGGGCACAAGTGGCAATTTGGGTTGTCCTGGAATAACACGAGTTGGTCACGAATGTGACAAGGTATCGCTTTCAGTTCATTTACTCAGTTTGTTAGTTATCACATTTTCGGTTTGCTGGGAATTACTTATATTGTACCTTAAACATAGGGCCTACACATTCTGATCAGGACCCACAACTTTTCATGGTTCTCGGTCCTTAGGGCCTGCAGCTTTTCAGGGTTAAGGTCAAACACTGGTCCCTTATATTAAAAATTTGTTGCTGGTCACTATGGTAAACATCACAGTAACTTAGTTCATAGTCAATTAAACCAACCTAAAAACATAATCTGGTGAAACCAGGATATGAAATCCATTATCTTAGGTTTCTGGCATGCAAAAGTCATGCAACTGCAGGCCTCAGAGTCAGATGACTGGGCCTCCCATGCCACCCAAGAATGGTGAACTTAATAAATAAAGCAGAATCCCCACAGAGCAGCAGGTGGTATGAAATTACTGACTGTAACCTGGACAGCTAGATTCATGGGTACAGGTGGATCCCATCTCAAAAGTGCTGGCTCATCAAAAGATCAGCAATTCTAACCTAAAACCTGTGTTTGACATATTGCATTCTAAATCTCCAAATGTACCGGTATATTGGGATGCAGTAAACATGAATCATGGCCTTAATATGTTCATTTTACATGTTTTTATCCAGTGTACTTTTGTAGAAGTCTACACTTTTCACTTGCTTTGCACCCCAAAACAGGGTAGGTGGATCATTTTTTCACTTTATCCGAGTAAAAGAGTAACTTGCACTGTTGCAGTCTGTCAGTCAAACCGTTAACTTGAGAAAAATGGGAAAATAGATTTTTAAGGCGAGAGGATTCTCGAGAAGGTAGGGAAACCAGAAACACACATGTGCTGGTTTGACCCAAATCTTGTCAAAAGGTTTTATAGGTAGACGATTTGTAAGTGTTGGGCCCAGGCATATACTTGCAATGTACCATTGCGATTATAACCATTTACATAGAAGTTTTAATCCTGTGTAATGCACAGTGAAGAGTAGGCTAATGATTTATTATATATGATTTTTGATAGAACAGAAGAACTCCATTTGTATTGAAAAGGAGCCTCAGAGAGATTCAGATACTGAATCTTGTGTACCTCTAGACTTGCTTCATTTGGGGCTTTAGAATTTGTGACCAACTTGTGTTATTCTGGGACAAGCCGAATAGCGACTCGCTCACAAATGGGATTCGTTTTATTGAATATGCAAATAGAATTTATAAAAAACCAGCTACATTAAATCCCAAAGCAGAAACTCAAAAATGACTTTTGTAACCTTGCTATCATACCCAGAGTGGAATTTTAAATGAATTCGAAAAATATATGAATGACTAAAAAGAAGGTCAGACTAAAATATTCCCAGAGATGTGAAATATATGCCAATGTTAAAGATTAAAGTTGATTAGTTACATACAGATATAATATTATTGTTTTGAAACTCATAGCGATTTATAATTACATTTCTTTTGGGAAGCACACGTACAATCACGATAACAAGCCTGCAAGATCGTCAGAAATACGCTCAGTTGGACCAGTGAAAGCCGTTAGGTTAACAAACGCATGTTTGTGTATTTGAATCTCTCAGTGTCTCACCGTCAATCGCATGATTCTTCTCAAAAACTTCACATTAGACAGCACAATTCTCTTAGCTACCTTCTTAGTATTTTCAATATGACTTTTAAAACAATAACATAACGCCATAAACAATTTAAGTAGTCAGGATTATTTTTATCAAAGCACTGCAACCATTATGTACGTTCTGATTGGTTTGTCGTATTTTTGCACATAACAAGCATCGAGACGGGGACAAGTCTTCTTGGAGGTTACGGAAAGGGGCAAGTGGTGGCGGATGTACCATAAGCTCTGGATGACTGACTGACTGACTGAGTTTGGTTTTACGCCGCTTTTAGCAATATTCCAGCAATATCACGGCGGGGGACACCAGAAATGGGCTTCACACATTGTACCCATGTGAGGATTTGAACCCGCCGTCTTCGGCGTGACGAGCCAACGCTTTGACCACTAGGCTACCCCACCGCCCCAGCTCTGGATGAACGGGCAATCATGATAATAGGGACCATGAGACAAACTAGATGAAGAGCTGAAAACTGCAATGTCCTAGTGATTTACCAAACACGAATCACATGTCCTATACTCTTATGATTGGGTGAGTGAGTGAGTGAGTGAGTTTAGTTTTACACCGCACTCAGCAATATTCCAGCTATATGGCAGCGGACTGTAAATAATCGAGTCTGGGCCAGACAATCCAGTGAACAACAACTTGAGCATTGATCTGCGCAATTGGGAACCGATGCCATGTGTCAACCAAGCCAGCGAGCCTGACCACCCGATCCCGTTAGTCGCCTCTTACGACAAACATGGGTTCATTCTAACCCGGACCTTCACAGGTTCTTATGATTGGGAATTGATCCACTGGCGAGCAGGCAGTCTCTATGTGTTTAGGGATGAATGCTGCCATTATTTATACGATTTGATACAACCTAAAAATAAAACTTTTTGAACTTAATAATTTAAAAATTCAACACTTAGTCTAAAGTTTCATAATCTTGTAGCACTAGCACTTGTATAGGCTAATTCCAAGGATATACTGAATCCTAAGCCCATGGATGTATAGTAAGTTCATAGCTAAGTCTCTCATTTCAAGAACTTAACATCATGATATTAAAATTATTATCTCCTGTGGTCAACTTGAGGTCATCCTTGCATAACATATATAAACTACAATGTGATAACTTACCAACAGAGCCGCCAATGCTAATATCAAAGAACACACGTGGGTTGGGCATTGTTACGTGGCTGATTCTTTAAACCTGTGACACAGAACAAATAGGGGTTTTATTCATGATTACAATGCTTGTTATTTCTATTTCCTAGCTGTATGGAAACCAGCCTGTAATTCACAAACAAAAATGAATATCTAGATGATGGTCTGCATTTCTACATCCAACACATCACTATCAATATACATGATATGAATTTAATATCAGAGTTTTTCAATCCATTGTTTTCTCAAATTCAAACCACATAATATGTAAGCACCTAGCTCTCAAGCATGTTGGAAAATGCAAGTTTTCACAATACTGAATGTTAAAATGACCTTTCCACTATGCTAAAATACTGATTACTCAATAAAGAACACAGACCAACAGGATATACTTTTCATCTTCAACATGTTCACTAACTTTTTTTAACCATATTTTGTACATTACATCATCACATTATGTTCCATCTTACAAAATACTTTCCCACTGTTCAGACTCAATTCGTTAATTATATATAAGACAAAATATTATGGATGTCAACTTCTTCTTTATTTTGGGTGATTAGAGTGATCAAATACAAAGTAGGGATGGTGCTGTTATAGTGGATTAAGCCATAGAGTCTATTTAATTTGCCAGGCATTGGATAGGAAAACTCCTTGATCTCTATTCATTTATGGCTCTAATCTTTTAATGCTGATAGAATCTGCAATCTTGCGTCGTCACCAATCATGGATGTTTGATGCTATGATGGTTGTTGCTTGCCAGTCAATGGAGTGTGATGGATTGTTCACAAAGTGTTCAGAAAGGGCCGACTTCAGATCTGATTTCACCATCGGTATTTTGTGCTCTTTGAGCCTAATGTCTAAATGGACGGGATGTCTAATGATGAGTGGGTATGGTTTATGCTACTTTTAGCAATATTTTAGCAATATCTTGCCAGGCATTTCTTTAGTAACTGACCCTTAATACTGAGTATTATTTACTAGATACTGTTCTGGTTGAAACACAAATTAACACTTTGCATAAAATGTTTATCATTTTTTTGTTACTATGCTATGCAGATTACAAAGTCAATTTAGACATAATACATCTTTCAACTGTTGATATGAAAATATCTTTGTTTCTCTGATAGATTTGAACAAACAAATCCACAAATGTTTACTTCTGAGTATCAAATTCTGGGGTGGCATGCTGAAAGCTGTAGTATGGTTTTACACTACTTTTAGAAGTATCAAGAGTTACCAGAGTGAACAATTTCATTTAAGAGACCATGTCAGTTTGACAGATTTGTTTTTTGTTCAATGTCCCATTCAGCAATTTTCTATCTACATGATGACAGTCTGTAAATAATCAAGTCTGGACCAAATAGTGATTGACATCATGAGCATCGATCTATGTATACAATGATATGCATCAAACAAGTCAGAGAGCATAACCGTCCAATCCCTTGAGTCACCTCTTACGCAAGCATGGGTTGCTGAAGATCAATCCAAAAACGGATCTACATGGGCCTCAATTTGACAGCTTCTGAGTTCATTCTTTTAATTAAATTATGACCTACATACTGCATTTGCACATGGTTATATAAATTGAACACTTTGGTTTGCTGTTTAGTGATATAGTTTTGTAATATGAAATATAGTATTGTAAGAGAGATTTGCTCAAGTTTGATTTGAAGATTTGAACCAGATGTTTATTTCAGTCAATCAATGGCTAATCAGTAGACATTGGAAACCTAGCAAGTTAAATCTTAGAAAATATATTTCCAAATGCCAATGATAGAAAACATGTCCTACTGTATGTTATCCCTTAACATAAAGCTTTAAAAACCATGTATAAATATGAATAATTAGACGTATACACCACAATAAATGTAAGAGATATGTTTAAGAAAATCAACACAAATCTTCCGGATATTAGACGCACACAATCAAAAAATTGAAAAAAGGCTGATTGCGAGTTGTTATCCGCAGGTGAACAATCTTGAACGTAATACTGAATCAGTCGGGGACAATCAATTCTGTATAATAGAGTATATTCAATCTGACTGTACCTTTATCGACACTGAATGAGATAACTTACGTCCTATACTTGAAATAAGGACGCAAAAGAAAAAATCTACATTAGGGACCGTTCATTATTTATGGCAAAGGGGTGATGATGATTTTTATGCAGAAGCATGTACAATGTGAATGACACCCCCCTAAAATTTACGTACAAAGTAAGTGACCCCCCCTTGCATATCATGTACAAAATCAATGACCCCCCCTCCCCATAATTTTTAAGCATAAGTTTTCAATATTTTTATGTACAAAATTGATGACCCCTCCTAGTACATGTGTACAAAATTGATGACCCCCCTACCTCCCCAGAACAAAATGGGTGACACCCCCTTAAAAATCATGTAAACACCACCCCACCCACCCGCCATAAATTATGAACGGTCCCTTATTAAATTAATTGATAACCGTATCTGAGCACATTTTGTGACATAAAGAATGGTGAAGAGCAAGTCCAAACCTGAACATTCAATAATGTTATACTAATGACGAGTTTGAGATAATATCTCCAAACACCAGGGCAGAAGATCGGAACACAAATGGTTTATCTATATAAGGAAAACGGTCACACCCTGTACCCGCACTGAACATGCTGAAGTAAGCCACAGATTTGAATTTTCGAATTGGTGTTTGTGAAAACAGTAACCAGTAACTACAGCTGCACAGGCGGTACGTACTAAGATCAACACGTGCTTTCCACCCGGAACATGGATGAATATAGCCGTGCTCACGATCGAAAAGATATCAAATTACTGGATATTATTACCAAACGGTTTTTGTACTGACCTAACGGATGAGAAATTCAATGCAGAAACAGGACCACGGTATTACTGTTAGACGGCTTGGATCCTTCTTTTTGTTTGAGTGAAAAATTCGAAAGTTTGGAAGCGAAATTTAACGAACTGACAGCTCCCTGTCTAAATGTAAATCAAATCACAAACATTGACATCTGTTGCTACAAAAATAAACACAACAAATACATATTATCTTTAATGATAATACGATGACATAAAAAAGCCATATGTTTGTTAAAGTTTATTGTCTTGTGTTGATATGTTTATCAAAAGACACTGTTGGGAGAGACTGTTTATGATCCATTATCATTCTTCCAATTACTTTTTAACAGAAATAACCGTTGTCCCTACTGCGAACGGAACATCTAACCAGCTTCAATTACAGAGCTTCTTTTGAAGCTAGCTTTGAACAATACATATTTATTAGGAGTAGTCCCTTGCACGTTTACCAAAAAAATGAAGTTTTTTTGACCGATGTTATATGTTGTTACGGGTATTACATTCCAAACAACTGAATACATGTATAGCGGCGTGATTAATGTTTCATATCATAATTTCTTCTCCCATTTTGGGTTTGTTTTACATAACGTTAAAGTAGTACAAGGTCTTAATTTTAACCTTCTTTATGTTTTTTTAATAGAGGATATTGTTTGAGTGCCCATGTCATACTATGTTTACGACACGAGTGCCTAAATGTTGGTATTTCCCGAGCGGGAGCGAGGAATATACCGATATTTAGGCAGGAGCGTCGTAAACATAGTATGACATGGGCACTCAAATAATATCATCTATTTATTGTATGACCTTACTGTGCAGAAATCATAAACCTGATTCCTATTCCTTTGTTGTGTTTTTACTCAAAAGTGGGTGCCGATGTTTTATATAGATTTTTAATGCGTTGACCAAGTGTCCGGAAAGAATCTATGGGTATCTCGAAATTAGGTGGTAAGGATATTATAGTTTCCTTGGCATTGTTGTTGTTGGTTTTTAGCTTGGCGCCGCTCTCGACAATATTCCAGCTACATGGCGGCGGTCTGTAAATAATCGAGTCTGGACCAGGTCATCCAGTGATCAACAGCATGAGCATCGATCTATAAGCCATGGGGTGGGATACAGTGACATGTGTCAACCAAGTCAGCGAGCGTGACCACCCGATCCCGTTAGTCGCCTCTAATTGGCCAATTCTAACCCGGATCACCTTGGAATTGGATAAATATGAACCAAACGCGCCATGAAAGGATCAAAATCTAAATCATCACCTCTGACCGAAAGAGCTAATTTGAAGGTTGCATGACCACGAAAGCAAATATTGATTGAAAATAACTCTTTTTATTAATGATTGTCCGTAGGAACCTTGAAATAAGAAACAATATGATTATAGTATTTTTCAGTCGCTTTTTAACAGTTTCTACAGTTCATTGCTGTATGAAATAGTGAAGTGATTTTTAATCATTTACTTATTAATCTTGGTGTGGTGTCAAAGTGAAAGGTGTTTCTAAATGTATTATTCTTCTGAATCTTACCCTTTTAAAAACAGCCGTTAAGCGTTTCTCCGGTTCAGAATATAGCATTGTTGTTCCCCTGGCTACTGTCTTTCTCTATCGAGTGGAAATATACATGCACTGCTGTATTTTTGAAACCATTTTTCAATTGCGTCCAGTGGGAGCTCACATTATAAAATATAGTAGTACCCAAGACAGTCTATGCAGATGTCATAGCAACCTATTTGTCATTCAAAATGAGTGAGTGAGTATGTTTTACGCCGCTTTTAGCAATATTGCAGCAATAACATGGGCTTCACACATTATACCCACAAATATGAAAGGCAAAGGAGGATGTGTATAACATGTATTGCATGTACGTCAACGAGAACGAAAGATGGGTTGGTGTGCATCATATGCGTACGTCATTCTGTGTGTGTATATATATAGTATAACACCTGCTTCACACATCCAACCTTAATACGTCAACGTCAACGATAGTATCGTTGCGGTAATCTAATATAAGTCACCACGTGTACTGGGAACCAAAACCTACATATCTACGCACGTGAGCTGTACAACAAAACGATAGAAGCGGTATGGCTGACATTTGACTGCTCATATGCACCAGTTATATCTGGAGACACCTTACAAATGTGCATAGTTACTTCATAAAGCTATTGGAACCAGACAGGGTCAGTGTGAAATTTAAATTCGCTTGGAATATTTTTACAAAAAAATGTCGACGTAAAATCGTCAGGTGTGAAGTATGTCCCCCTGAATACCGCAGTTGGTCTGTTTAATAAATGAATGAATGAGTGGATGAAAGTCGATATTATATGTGTAGTTTAGCCTAAGCCCACCATGTTGAGGACCTATGAGAGGAGTTCTGTATATGACAGTGGTGAGCATATGTCAACTTCTTTATCTTTAATATGAGGGACGAGACGTTTCGGAGTAGGGGTGGGTATTGCAGCAAATATTCATATTGCGATATATTGCGATGCGAAAGCATGTATTGCGATATGTATTGCAATATATTGCATGAAATATTTTTAAACAAAACACTACATATAATCGAGTTACTGCTTGATTTTTAGAGAAAAAACACAACAAAATCACCATGCTTGATTAAGCTTTAATAACAACTTTTAATCATGATAAAATAAAAATGTGAATAATATTTGGCACAAATGAAACAAGGAAATATCCTAAGATTTCCGAGTGTTACGACGATTTCCGAATGCAAGTCAAAATACCGGTTTTCGATCAGCGTATCGCAATACGTATCGTTTTCATGTCTGAACCGGTAAATACCGGTAAACCGTTTATATTGCGCAGCCCTATATCGGAGTATATTCGTTAGTGAGTGAGTTAAGTTTCAAGCCGCTTTTAGCAATATTCCAGCAATATCACGGCGGGGTACACCAGAAAATGGGCTCCACACATAGTACCCATGTAGGGAATCGAACCCGGGTTTTCAACGCGACGAGTGAACGCTTTAACCACTAGCCTACCCTACCGCCCCGGGGCGACTATAGATGGACTATGCTGAATTGTTTGGCGACTGTTGATTGCGTGTCATGTACCCGGATGAAAATGCATGTAATCCAGATTGGACCCAAGAAACCAGTGGTTGAAATATGAACAACGTCCCCCGTCGCTGAGTCGCGATCAACCAAACAACCGCATTTGACCAGACCCCAGTCGCCTCTAACGACACGCATCATTTTACTGGAAACGGTCGATCATCGGGAGTCTCCATCCCATAAATGGAATGTCACCTATGTGCTCATCTTTGCTCGTAGAAAGAGGGGCGGTGGGGTAGCCTAGTGGTTAAAGCGTTCGCTCGTCACGCCGAAGACCCGAGTTCACTTTTTGCTATTTTGTTACGAGGGGGGCCTCTTGCTGGTAGAACAGCCAGGTTTGCGAGCTGAACGTATGAAATTGAAATTTCACTACACACGCTTGTTGATTACCTGGCCGTTCTCCCAGCAAGTGGTTCCCCCTCGTATAAAATAGCAAAAAGTGATAACAAAATAATGATCGTTTGTAAAACATTATTTTTATTCGGATGTCCAAAATTACGAGACAATTCATCAGAATTGGTCTGTCGATTTCATGTGACTGTGCAAAATTTGGTTTGTTGCAATTATTAGATTTTGTGTTAGTTAGCAAGTCATCGGTCTCAAATGAAATCAAACGGACTGTAGTCAGTCTCACAGCCCTTGAACCATATTATTTTCCCTTCTCCCTAGCACTCTCTGCAATGCTAAAGCCCTAAATGAAGCAAGTCTAGATTTTCTCAGGTTCAGGTCTGAATTTCCCTTCTCACTGGGGCTCCTTTTCAATTGAAAAAGAATTGTTTGTTTCTATCAAATTTTTCTATATTCAGAGACAAAGCGTTAGTCTACCAGGCTGGTTGCAATTGGTTGGTGTGTTTGTTTGATTTACTGATACTCAACAAACGCACCCGACCTGGGAATAATCAGGTCTGGTCCTTGAAACTCGTGATCGGTGGTTGAAGTCAGCCAGGAAGTCGGACATAGTAGAACCTGGACAGTAATTCCGTGAAGTCACCTTAATGACTGGCACTCGACATCAATGGAAATAGAAGCTGGTCGGCTCGGACCCATATTTCTGTATCTGAAGAACCTATTCCTGTTAAACTGTGGCCTGGTATCTCGAATCTTTTTAGCATTATCAAACCGGCATTAGCCTTGTACATTACAAAAGCACGCACGCACGCACGCTCCCTCGCACACACACATGCATGAACCTTGCTACACAAGTAGGTGTCACTGAGTGAGTGAGTGAGTGAGTGAAGTAATATTCCAGCAATATAAAGGCTGGGGACACCAGAAATGGGCTTCACACATTGTACCCATGTGAGGGATCGAACCCGGGTCTTCGGCGTGACGAACGAACGCATGCATGTGTACAATAATCTTGAATGCAAAGTTAAGGCCTATTTCACCTCCGCCATTTAAATGGAATCCTCCTGGAAGTTGAATGCATCCTCTTATCACACATATCACCATGTCACGACAGTGTTAAAATATGTTGCAACACCTACATGAATAATAAAGTATTTAATTAATTTATGTACATAATTTTCTGGTTCTAGTTCAGGACTAGAGGTCCGTCTAGGGTATCACAAGGTATACTTAGCTATATCTATCAATGTCAAGGTATATTGGCATACAGGTAAGGAGATACCTTTTGCTTTTCAGGGAGTGGGGGTTAGGGACAGCTTTTGATATACAAAAAATATATTTGGACTTTTTACAAGAGAGAGGGGGAAATAACTCAAAAGGTAGGAGAAAACATACTGTGTCTTTACTTGCCGACGTTGTGTGTTCAATGAATACAGTCAGCTCTGATTTCAGATTACGCGCGTCTGTTTGCCAAAGAAAAATAAGTCCGGTCACGTGATAGGAGGATTAAGTGGTTATATTGGCTGGCGCGTCAGGCACGCTTGCGCCAAGCTTAGTGATGACAGGCCATAAGCTGGTTCCCGGCTCCCTTTGCGCTCGCGAGCTTGCGTAAATGATGCGAGACGAGTCCCAGCTTGTGCGCCGGAGTGTGTTGCGGTCGTCGAGTCCGGAACATTCCCATTGGCACACTTCGCGAAACATAGTTAAAATAAACAACACATGTAAATCTAGTAAAGGCAATGTTGGTTGGCAATGTTGCTGATATTAACCGTTTAACGAATAAATACACTGATACGTATGACGTAAAATTCTAAAAATAGAATTTATTCGACTTCAGGTCGGTACTGTACCATCTGCATATCACTTCCGCCTTCGACAACACCCTTGGACAGGTATTTTTGCTTGACAACAGAATCACAGAAAGAAAATCTAAATTTCTAAGTTCTAAATCATCAAAATGAATAACCGTGTCAAAGCACATAAAGGAACGTGGAACAACAAGCCCATGACTGACCAACATTCGACGCTAAACTACAATGCTGAGTTTACGAGTGAAGAGTTTGAGAAAATTTCATACGGCTGCATTCCCGAGGAGATGGAAGATAAATGGTTTATCTATATGGGAGAAAACAGCCATACCTTGTACCTGCACCGAAGTTGGACAGGGATATGTATTTACGTAGTCGACTTCCTCAAGACTGAAACCGGTACGTACAAAGTTGAACGAGTACTTGTGAACCGGAACAAGGAAGAGTATAAAAACGTGGACGATGCCGAAGATGTAGCAATTCTGGATATGCTTATCAAATGGAATATGTAGTGACTAAACCGTTTAAATATTTTGGCAATATTTTTTTTTTGTGGAAAGAAACACTGGGTCGGGTGTGATTCTTCTTTTCGTGTCAGTGAAAATGCAAAAGTTTGGAATCGAAATTTAACGAACTGATATGCCCTATAATTGTCAAACACTGAAAGAGATTTATCATCTAAAACTGTGTTCCACTGAGACAATGTTTGTGTGAGATCAAACGATATCTCCAAGGAGAAAGTTTTTGACTGTCGATTTTGTACAATGCCCTGCAAGTCTAGTGGTAGTACCGTGTTCAGAGATGTACATTTTTCATTGAAAATTAATGAAGAGTGATTTTTTTAATGATAAATTATTATGGTTATGTTTAACAAGCTGGTCTGATTTTGTAATTTGACGCAAGATACATTCAACATCTTAGACGTCAAGTTTATCATCTCCAATATTCGAACTCTTGGGATTTAGAGTTTGAATAATACAGGGTGTTTTATCTGTAACCTGATATCTACAGTGTCACATTGAATATTTTGACATCGCATTGGTGGTGCGCTGTATAGAATGTAACAGTCAAAGTCTATATAAACATAAATATTAAAACATGACAGTGATACCGCTGGTAGTCACGGTGACTTGTGGACATTCACAAAGTACTGGATGAACTCTTACTGAGTTGACTGCTGTGATATTTGCCAATTTCAGGGAACATCTACATCCCCTTTGTTCTCTTGTGCACGTTATATTGTATTTGATCAAAGGGTGCACAGGTCGTCTAAGGCGTCGCAATTCTCAGAGTTGCCTCCCTTACACACAACAGAAAAATGATTCTGTATTCGAAACGTATGCGATGTAATCTCCGCAAACGCTGCCGGACCCCTGGCCGTGGATACCCCAGGGAATTCTCTACAAAGATGAAATCAACATCTTCGCTCACCTGCGAGGCTTTTGACATTTGGAACAGAGTTTTCCTGTAGCATTGATATATTTGGCCGTTGTGACTGTATGTACTTGTAGGTTACATGCAAATTACACCAATTCTTGTAAACAAATAAAAAATAATCGATGGCGTCATCATTTCCATAATCATAAGAAAATCTACGATTCCGACTATTATAGAATATGACCGTATATACATATGAGTTTATGAATCGGTTATGACACCGGGGGTTCGCAAAAACATGTGCGTACTTCACCCGACCGGGTATCAGGTAAACCCATTCTCCCCCGACCTATCCTACCCTGCCCGTTGACCCAACGGTGAAATGGGCGAGGAGGGAGGAGTGTGTGCGGAGGGGCATAACCTCTCTCTCTCTCTCTCTCTCTCTCTCTCTCTCTCTCTCTCTCTCTCTCTCTCTCTCTCTCTCTCTCTCTCTCTCTCTCTCTCTCTCTCTCTCTCTCTCTCTCTCTCTCTCTGTGTGTCTCTCTCTCACACACGCACGCACACACGGTACAAGAACAACTGGCTCATTGACCAGAATGACGAGATGGAAACAACAGCACCGGGTAATGTAATCTGTGCACTTGCGTCAGCATCCTCTGTACCGTACGAAGTGGTAATTAATAGCACATATCCGGAACATGCGTGGAAACGTCAATCCTTGGTGTTGATGCACTAGTTTATGGTTTTCAGGTCACACCGTTTTGACAGCTTTCGTAAGATACCAGTTTGATGGTACTAGAAGATCAACCAGGAAGTCGGGGCTCCAGATCTTTAAACATTAGTAGTACGTACACCGTATGTTTTCAATACAGGAGTGCTGATAAAAACATAAGAGTACATTTAGAGTACTGAATGAAATTTAATGGAGTACCAGTAATCTTGTGTTTCATTTCATATATGCACGACAACATTGCTACTCTTGTATAAACAGGTCAATAAACAATAAAACAATACTTTTTCAGATAAAATACGTCTGTAAATGATTCTAAGACCGTACACCATTGCTGTGGTGCGTATCTGCTACGTTTTCTAAACTATTTCCTGCCATATCGTGTGTATTGTTTTTCCGTACATACGCCGATACGACCCTTATCTGCATCCTCGATAATGTCCAGGGTATACGTAACGACCACTCTCCACTGTAGTGGAGATTATGGAGGATGCTTATCTGGAGCCCTGCTGGAAGCGTTCATCATCTCAAACATGACAGAAGAGAAGTTTTTAGAATTGTTTTCTCAACATTTGTTACTCCCCATGTATATATCCTTCCATCTGTAAAGTGATAATATAAGACTGCATAACAAACTTTGGTTTCTAATGAAAACTCGCGTAATGTACTATGTATTTCAGTTTGTTTTACAATATAGGACCTGCGATCAAGCCTCATGAGGAAAATGATCAATATGTGTACCTAAGCCAGTAACCCACTCCGAGGTCGTTTAGCGTCTATGATAAATATCTAAATGAATAAACGTGACGTTACTTCCCTGTAGACTCGTCACGCTGAAGGCCCGGGTTCGATTCCCCACTTAGATACAATGAATGAAACCCGCCGTGATATTGCTGGAATATTGCTAAAAGCGGCGTAAAACCATACTCACCAGAGGCGGATGCAGGAGGTGTGTGTGTGTGTGCGTGCATGCGTGCGTGCGTGCCAGCGTGCGCGCACATAGTTCATGAAGTCCAAAGGTAAGGGGGAAATGTTCCTAAGGGGAAAAAGATTCGGGGGTATTTTCTCTGGATCATCCCCTGCTCACTCACTACTTCACTGCAGTTGGGCACAACGTGATCACGAACGATGTCGCCTCACTCACAAACATCCATTATCAATATGGAGATGTGTTGTTCCATGAATTTCGGTGCCTACCACACCATTACACCTCCACACTACACCCTTACACCTCTACCCAAAAAGTTACGAAGCTGAGTAACGCTAGCGTCAGTCAAACCGTCTCCTGGACCCTCACACGATCAGAGCTGTCCAGATGAGACATGTACTTAGCTGTTAACAGTATACAGTTCCAGTCTTGTGTGATGAACAGATTACGTTTACGCTCAATCAGACGTGGAAGCAAAATGTGCCCCTCAACCGCGTAAGGAACGCAGTTCTATTTTAACCAAATAGAAGTTATAAACTTGGACATTATATAGCTGTGGTCGTTTTTTAAAGGTTGTGACAAGAAACGCTGTTACATGTTGGGTAGGGGGGGATGATCGGATGAAATATGTTACATTACTTAGGGAGTCTGTACCACCGCATCCCCCACCATAATATTTCAGCGATCATGACTGTCACGCTTGCAGTGATAGAGTTGCCTCCCTTGGATCATCACAGACTTAGGACTGAGATCAACCCTAAACCAAGCCCAATATCTCAATGATCTTTGCATCCAATTTTGCAGTTGTCATTTGGCTGGTCGAGTTGTGTAATTTTGTGCGCGTACCCCCTTGTAATACGAACCAATAATAGCGATTTGAAACTATGATCGTTTGTTAAACAACTTTTACCCTAAGTTGAATAAAATTCTGAGATTTTAATGTTCAATTGGCAAGTTAAAATTATGAGGATTCGCAATCTTAATTTCACTTTATTTGATTTACGTTTTTGTTTAAAGTGAAATTCATCGGTACGTTTTCTCTGCAAACAGACTATACCTTATAGTTATAACACATTTTGGCGACCTCCCTGTCAGTCATGAGTCATTTTACATGAGTCATTTCACATTCCAAACTACCTTCTCCAACGTATAGTTGTGACAATTTTCTAATCTAACCCACCCTTTCTTTCTTTGCCCCTTCTACCCCTGAGTCAATGTTAACACTTTTGAGATTCTTTTGACGCGGCAAATTAGCGATAAACCATAAGTAAATAACTATCCATATTACAATAAGTGTTATGTCAAATTTAATGTACCCGTGGAGATCCGGATTAAAATTGATCTTCAGTAACCCATGCTTGTAAGAGGCGACTAACGGGATCGGGTGGTCAGGCTGGCTGACTTAGTTGACACACGTCATCGTATCCCAATTGAGTAGATCGATGCTAATGATGTTGATCACTGCATTGTCTGGTCCAGACTCGATTATTTACAGACCGCTGTCATATAGCTGGAATATTGTTGAGTGCGACGTTAAACAACAAACAAACCAAACATGGCCACCACTTCAGTAGGTACATCCAGCTAGCGTAATCACTGACAATCCTGGGGTTCCGTGTTCACAGACCGTCACTTTACATGAAACTGCATCTGTCGATAGTGATGAACCAACGATAATGCACGGCTGGGAAGCATATATCTAATAAACAAGTCGCCTTTGACGACCCGTATATACACGCATATACACAGAAGCGCGCGCACGCACGCACGGATCCCCTTACAACTGTAAATGTCTCGTGTTTTATCAAAGTAGTATTAAAGCTTTTTGTTTGTTTCTTGTTGAAGGCTGCACAGCAATATAACGCAGCTATATGACGGCGGTCTGTAAATAATTGAGTATGGACCAGACAATCCAGTGATCAACAGCATGACCATTGATCAACGCAATTTAGTATTAAAGAAAATATAGCCTCCGAAATCGTGAATATTAACCATATGTCAAACGACGAGTACTTACAATGGTAAATCTGACAAACTTTAGTATGGTCGTACAAACCATAAACACATTTAGGACCAAATTCTGAACTTAAGTCATTTGGGAAATATATAGAAACATCAAATATCGCCCTTGTTTAAAAGGTTTCGAGGTGTAGCAGGAAATATTATGACTAACTAGAACAGGCTACAGAAGTATGTCAGGATCATCGTTTACAGTGTCAGCATTACTAGTCATCCCAGCTGAATTAAGACGTTGGGTCATTGGTGTAGCCAGGTTCGTATTACAGTGCTTGTGTACTACACTTCCCTACTATGACATACGAGGAATGGAATTTAGCGTGAATAATTCAATATTACCATAACAGTTGTGACGGAAAGAAAAAGTCAATTTGTTAGTGAAGAGGTTTCTGTGTGCGTTGGCCCGTGAGATGGAAATGATTAAATCATCTTTTACTGTTTAAATTAAATGACTGGGCGGGTAGTGCCGCACAGCTTGGTACACTCTGGTTTTATTTTAATTGATAGT